TCAAAGTAACAGTAAGAAAAGCAAGAAAACACAACCATAAATTAAAGAGGCGAGATATATACACTACATATACAATATAAATAAGATAAACAGAAGAACACAAGGATGCTAGGAACACAAATTTAAGAATAGAATTTACTTGTAATCATTCTAGTTGTAGTGACTTTGAGTGGTGTCTGATTAATTACAGAATGATGGAAACTTTTAGCAGTTTTTCAAGTAAAGTTTCAGCTTCTCAAGTATAAATTTTAAAGACATATTACTTTTAACTGTAAACTGAATATTTTTATTATTATTTTTTAAACATTTTTCAAATATATAGACCACTTTTTATTTAAATATTTGAAGCCATTTCTTTGAAAGCCATCTGCTACAACCTTTATCCATCTAACTTTGGTAGATAAAATAGCCTGGCTCTGTCCAAAGGTTACCAAATCTGGCTACCAGCAACTCTAGAGCTCATTATTCACATGTGTATGATGTTTAATAAATGTTTATTGCATATTCATGTCCAAATTCATACTTTTTTCACCTGTTTTTGTGCTTGACTAACAGTTTTTCCTCAGTTCCTTCTCTCTCATTAAGTTCAGGCAGAACTGCAGAGTACAGGTGCATTGCATAATAGAAGCATATTAAGTGCTAATACAGACATCACACAACGTCGTTGAACAGACTCCCGATCTGTATCTGATGTTATTATTCGTAAATCTGTGCTCATTGTGGTTCGCTCCTCTCTTCAACAATAGTGCAGAGTTGAGCACAATGGCACCCTGACCCCCATTTCCTTTAGTGGCAATCCTGATTAGCTAAGAGACAAGCTTCTCCCATGCCATTGTTAATGTATTAGTGTCTTAAGTCCCTGTGGAGGGCAATAACTGCGCTCGGCTAATCATGTGGCGATGGTTATCGTTTAGTTGGTCATTGTTAACAGCTGGTGATTTACTATGCTGTGCATACGGAGCGGCAGAAAAAGCAACTGAGTGGAATCCAAGACGTGCTTTGTGTGATGCTAAGAGGTTTGTGATAGAAACACATACGTCTGATACCTGACGCAGCACTGACTGTCGTGATATAATGTGAGTGTCATAAAAACAAGAGAAAGAAGGTTGAAGTAGGTGAAGCGGTCGTTTTTTTTTTTTTTTTTTATTGTAATGAGATTGAGCAGAAAAGGCAGAAAAATATTTTAGAAAGAAGATCTGTTATGTACATTGCAGCTTGTGTGTCGTTCCATGTGTTCTAATGCATGGGACCATGTAACTCCTGGACTTTACCATTGCAGGTTGCCTGTAGAATGAGCATTTAACTCTTTAAATTTCAATTAATGTGTTCCCTGACTCACGAAATGTTGCATTTCCTTGTTGATGTGGCTCACAAAAGTACTCACAGGAGAAAACTTTTCTTTCATCAAGATCTTATTGAATCTTGTTGAAATTATTTTCATAATAATATTTTATTTACAAAACCTTGAGTTTTCATGTTAAAACCAGTTTAGTAATGTTTTCCCCATTAATCTCTATGTTGCATTCCAAAATAACAAAGCAAAGATAGGTTTTTGGACTACTTATGACGACTAGATATATTCAAAATTTTTAGAAAAAAAGCATGTCGTCAGGTCCTTCTCTTATTACTTGTTTAAAAAACCAGTGTTAGCAATGTCAGCCTTAAGCTTTCCGATTCTACAAGCTTGACACACTTTTATTTTGGAAGTAAGCTGAACATTTTTTGTAGCAAAGCTTTATTGAAATTTATTGAAAATGTTCTAGCGGTGAGGACACCCAGGATCTTTCTGCGTGGAATTTGCATGTTCTCCCCGTGCAGCGTGGGTTCTGTCCGGGTTCTCCACCTTCCTCCCACACAGTCCGAAAACATGCTGAGGTTAATTGGTGATTCTAAGTTGTCTTTTAGTGTGGCCCTGAGATAGACTGGTGACCTGTCCAGGGTGTCCCCTGCCTTCGCTCTGAGTCAGCTGGGATAGACTCCAGCCCCCCATGACCCTAGTGAGGTTTAAGCGGAGTATAGATAATGGATGGATGGATATTCTAGTGCAGGGTGTGCATCCTCCACACCAGACTCTCCAGCTACAACGGAACATTTAACAGGACAGTATCACAATATCACAATATACTTGTCTAAAATAGCACTATTTTGCTATTTTACCATAGTCACAAGTCAGCTGTGCAGTTGTACAAACCATCCTTTTTCAAGAGAATTATTTAAAGAAGCCCACACTACATCCTCTGCAAGGTCATTCCATGGTAATGAAGCACAAAGTCAGAAAAAGTTTTTTCCTCTTGCGAACCTAGAATGAGTTTTGTAGCTCGTCTCTGAAACCTCTCTATTTCATAAGTACGCTTTAAATTACGAGGAAACCAGACTGAACTGACAAATTTAAAATGAGATATCACCAAAATTAAATACCCAACATAGAATTTGCTTTCTTGATTTTTTTTTTTCTTTTCTGAGAAGTGTGCATGGAATCCGAGTGAACTATCAGCCACTACACCTATATCCTTTTAATTGTTCATCTGCAGCAGGTTGGATGGGGAGCGTCAGTGCATAGCCATTTTTAAGTCTCTCCAGAGATTCTCTATTGTGTTCAGCTCCGGACTTTCACAGAGTTTTCCCAAAGCTGCTCCTGTGTTTGCTGGGAGGGGTGCTTATCTTGTAGAAATGTAAACCCCAACCTGAAATCTAATCTAATCTAATCACAATTAATCTTATACAAACTGTGGGTTTCTACATTCTGCTGTTTTGTCCACAGTGCAAATTAGTGGATTAGGGCACAGCAGTATGTACACATTACAGGATAAGTTCACGCTTCTCAAAAACAGCACTTCAGCACACACTTGTTTCGAATGAAGGCTGTAGATTTTGTCCTCCATCTCTCAAACTGGAGTCAGGTTATCCATCTCCAGTATGAACGAGAGGGATGATTATAGCGACCCGATGAGATGAGAGCCATCTTTTGTATAAGAAGAGGATGTTAGAGAGGCTGCAGTGGTCCAAGAAGGCAGGCAGGGAGGGAGGAGAGGGAGGAGAGGGAGAGAGCAGCAGAGGGGGCAGCGGTGGGAGTGTCGCTTTCCAAAAAAAGGCTTACACATGGCCTGATATCGGACCATGGTAAGACCACTGGGGACTGCTGACTGTGTGTATGTGTGTGCTGCCCTGAGCTCCAGCTCATATCAGACACAAGTTTCTGTATCAGAACTTGGAGGAGAATTTCAGGTGCATGATCAGAGTGGGACTATAGCAATATCCCCATCATTGGTGTTGTTTAACAGTGCTGATAACCATAAGATCCAATTAATGTGGTCACTGAATATGCCACTAGTGTACTCTCTGGTACAGCTACCGTAGCCTGCTACCTGCTGTACAAAGCACACTGTGTTTACCTAATCAGAGGAACTTTGACCTCCATAGTGGAGGTCCTAGCAGGTCAAGCAATTAGAACTTGAACCAAACGTAAGAAGAAATAAATCCAAGACTTAACAGCCTTAAAAATCCATTTGTTAACCTTTATCCTTTCGCTGAAAGCAGTACTTTTTTTTTCCAGAATGCCTTGATCACATTGATGGAATTACACACATTCACACCTTGAAGCTACAATAGTACAACCAGGTTTTTTTTTTTTTTGGCTAATAACTACTCCAATAGAGCAGATGGAGTTTAAAGTTTTGCTTAAAGCTACAGTAGGCAGACATCCCCTTTCTGTTCAAAGCCCCCTCTGACCAGATGGGATTCAAAAGCGCCAAAACAGTCAATATTCATTTGTGGTCATGCTCTCTAGGGTGAAAGTCGTTTGTCTAACCCACTCTGCCACCACATTCTAGTCTCACTTCTGACGTTGTTGCTCTTCATACTACATCACTTGATGTGGGTGATAAAACCTGTGTTTGACCAAAATCTTGGAGCCAAGAGGAAGTGCAGAAGTCCAGTTTTCTCCTGAGACCACTTGAATTATAATGTGCTGAACGATTAGCGTGGAATTTTTGCGCGATGCCAAACAATCCTGCCTACCTCAGCTTTAAGAGCAGCTCTGTTCACTAGCATAGAAAAGGAGGAGCAAGTATATATATAAGGCATTTTTCAGATGCTGGACTGGTGGCATTTATTGTCTTGTGTGGCAGCACATGAAAAAGAAATAATACGTGGAAAAGAAGGTTCTGAACTGCACTGGTGTTGGTTTACTCTGGAACAACACGCTACACATACTAGACTGAGATAAACTTATTGATCCACAAGGAAAATTCTTTTATCACAGTAGCACAAAATAAATAAATATATAAGAATATACAAAAATGAAATAAAAAAAGAAGTAAAAACAGAAAAAAACAAAAAACAAAGAAGTACAGTAATATTTATTTTTATTTAATTTAATTTAATCATTTCATTATTATGATTTCTTTTATTGTCTTTCTTTACTTGGCAACAAACAAACAACAAAAGAAAAACAACCACAAATTTGTTAATTGTACATAAAGAAATCCTTGCATTGTATTCTCTTTTTTTTCTTGCTTGCTTTTTTTTACTTCTCTTTTTTGTTTTTATTTCATTTTTTGTATGTTCTTACATATTTATTTTTGTGCAACTGTGATAAAACAAGTTCCCTTGTGGATCATTAAAGTTGATTTAAGTCTGAGTCTACTAATCAATTTAGCTGACTAATATGGTTGGTTTTTGCACAAACTGAAGTAAATAGTTACAGTATCACAGTTTTTGGTTTGTGTTGGACCCAAACTAATCCTTGGACTTGACACAACACACATCTGAGACCTATGACAGAAAAAACCTGGACCCGAGATCCAGGTTGAATTAAATCTTTGTTTTTAAATTGTGCACACAAATGACAAGCACGCGTGTTAACCTTTTTCCGAACACGGTTTACAGTATGAAGATGAACAATTATATTTTGCTCTTTCCAAGAATGCTAAAAATGATGACAGACATGTTGCTAATCATGTTAGTGATGATAATTAAGACTTTTCTCTGTTTTCTTCCAGCTGTATTTTGGGGAGACATCGCTTTAGACGAGGAGGACCTGCGCATGTTCCAGATCGACAGGACGATAGACCTGACGCAGCACACACACATCCACACACACTCCCGACAGGGGCACACGTCTGGTGAGTGGACTCGGCATCTCACTCTCGCTGTATAACTGCCATGCAATTCTCATTCTCAGTTTCCTCTGAAACTCTCTCATTAGCCATCAGCTGCACCGTAGAGCAGCTCGAAAGGGAAGGAAGTAGACAGGAGGCCACCAGAGGATATCAGCATTTATCATGCATTGTTTGTGTTTTGATTTTTTTGGCTCTCGTGTGTGTCAGGTGGCCTGGAGGAACACGAAACTGTGAAGAAGAGAGGATCGTTATACCTGCTGCTGGAAAGAATACGTAGATTTGGCTTTGGTAAGCAATCTGAATTCACCACATGCTTTGATTTGTGTTTCCAAAGACACAGTTTCAAGGGCCACACCAGTGGATGTTGAAGCTTAGTTAATGTAATCACTTTACTTACTGCTGCAGATAGTTTTCATACATTTTAAAATGGATCTTCTTGGATGCCATTGGTTTCCTTTTTAAGCACAAGTTTAATCACTGCTTGCAGCTGCAGCCATGCATACAATGAAGTACAGTAAGATGTTTTATTGTAAATAGGATGAAAATGTGTCCATGTAATCATTGAAAAGTAGACGGCCCACACATGTGCCTTCTTCATGGCTGTATATACAGTGTGTTACAATAGTCCTGCACTGATATATGCAGTCAGACGGTTTCATTTTCTCTTCCAATTCAATATATATGAAGGACCATTTTGTGTTTTCTGAATCTGTCCATACAAAATCAATTCAGTTGAGGTTTTTTTACTGCACAAGGTATCACCCTTTAAATCTGAGTGACAGGAATTCTACAAAAAGCATTTTGAGTCTCTGCTGTGAGTTACTGTGAACGCAGCAACATTCACAATGGAGGACGTGATCTGTTACATGTTGCTTCATTCAGAGCACAAGGCCCGTGTTTGTTTGTTGTTTTTTTTAACTAAAATGTTAAAATGAGTTAAATCATGTAAGCCACTGATCCTTTTAGGAGTTTTTTAGGTTGAGATTTCAACAGAGAGCTGTTTTGCTGTTTTGCCAGATATTTCATGATAAGAATGTCTAACAGACACTGATAACGGCTACAGGCTGAAGTGCATTACTTTCATGATAGAGTTGTTTTTAATACTTCAGGAGTTGCTTGACCTTTGTCGGTTCAGAACTGATTTCCTTCTCTTTGCTGCTTGTGAGCTGCCAAAGTTGCACCGCGGCTCCTGTTCTTTGGAAGCACGATGACTTTCAGAGCTGCAGAATGTTTGCGTTACCAATTTAGCTCTCCGCTCATCCAGTGTACATTATGAACGTCTTTGAATTAAATGTTTAATAAAACAGTATATTGCACCGGTGCAGTGATTTCTGTTTGCATTTTATTACTCTCTGATTTGAGAACAAACTCTGAAAGGTCACACGTAATAAGAAGCGGCATTATCCAATAATGTGGAGGCGCATTTATGAAGTGATATTTATAACAATAGCCCCGTCATTTATTATATTTGAACACCGGCAGATTCATTGTGGCTTCTCTCTCACCTCTCCGTTAGACCTTCTCCCCAAGAATGACAGCAAGGGAACTGCCAGTCCAAAGAGCCAAACTGGGAAAGGTGGGAAGACTGGGAAGGTCGTGAAGAGCCGTATTCCTCGAGCAGCCACATCCCGAGCTGAGAGGATATGGCCCGGAGGAGTCATTCCCTACGTCATAGGAGGAAACTTCACTGGTAAGCAACTCCACTGGACTGCTGCCTGCACCGCTCAGCACTTCAATACACAGCGACGTGTGATTGCGTAAAAGTAGGATGTAAAATGTGTGTGTTTCAGGTAGTCAGAGGGCCATGTTCAAGCAGGCCATGCGTCACTGGGAGAAGCAGACGTGCGTAACTTTCATTGAGAAGACAGACGAGGAAAGCTACATAGTGTTCACTTACAGACCCTGTGGGTGAGTTCGGAAGATCACCTCGTATCTCTGTGATTGTGTGTGTACCTAGAGTTCACCAGTGACCTTGTCATGGCGAGAGACGACACGGTCACTCAACAATGGCTCCACTTTCCTTCCTGTCCTGCTCCTGTTTCCCCATCCCACCAATCACGCCGCTCGGTTTAAGTGTTTGTATGTTCGTGCAGTTTTTTTGTTCATACTCTGCAGAAGTGCATTGTTCTGTCGAGTGGCAGCACGGTGGGGTCAGAGTGTGTTTGTACAGTGGTGACACTTCACTGACTGGTTGTTGTAAGCTGTAAGGTTTTTACAGCGGCTGAGAATCGGACACTCCAAGACGCCGTTGTGCAGACGGTTGAAAGAGAAGGATATCCAGCTACATCTGTGAACTTAGAGTGTTAGTGTAAAAGCAAAATAAAAAATAAAAAAAATCCCCAGCAGCAGTTCTTATCTGAATGATGTTATTTAGGCGAAACACTCACCAGTTCCAACTTTGAATAAATATGAGGATTTGACCTTTTTTTTCTGTTTAAGGGTCAAAGAACTTGTGATTGATAATTTTCATGATTTTAAAACTTTTTTATTTAATACATTTATAATTTTTATCACTCACATAGACACATAGATACATCAATATAGATTAGATAGATATAGATTTTATAGATTAGATTAGACTATTTGACTGTAATCTAATCTGGCTATTATTGGTAATAGTACAGCTTTTGGAAAGTATTGCAGTTACAGATTTAATTTCCATGATTAAATATTCAGTATCTGTTTGAAAAACAACAAGGTGTTAATAATATGAATTTATTCTTTGAGCAAAAAGACAAACAAACTGACCAATGAATATTGATTCTTTGTCATCAGGTCTTATTCAGGCTCTCTAATATGATACACTGTTTACCTGTATGCTCAAAGAATAAATTAATAATATTATTTCACTTGAAGATGGGTTGCAACACTTGTTTGTCTTGTTTTTTTTTGTATTTTGACTTGTCGCACGGGCTGCAAGGTGGCACAGTTATTTAGCTCTGTTGCCTCACAGCTAGAAGGTCGCCGGTTTGCGTCCCAGTGGGGGCACCGGGATCTTTCTGCGTGGAGTTTGCATGTTCTCCCCATGCAGCGTGGGTTCTCTCCGGGTTCTCCAGCTTCCTCCCACAATCCAAAAACATGTTGAGGTTAATTAGTGATTCTAAATTGTCCGTAGGTGTGAATGTGAGTGTGCTTGGTTGTCTGTCTCTAAGTGTAGCCCTGTGATAGACTGGTGACCTGTCCAGGGTGTCCCCTGCCTTCGCCGTGAATCAGCTGGGATAGACTCCAGCCCCCCACGACCCTAGTAAGGATTAAGCGGTGTATAGATAATGGATGGATGGACTTGTCACACCAAAGATGCTGGATCAGCCATCTGAGCCATGCAGTGATTCTTCATTTTTTATCCGTTTAGGCACTTACTTTGTGTGAACTATTATTATCAAACCTCATAGATTTAATTGTGTCCTTATGGATCAAAGGTAGTGAAATCTGACATCTCTAATTTTAGACGTTATTTTACAATGGATGGATTTTATAATTCAATTTTTGTAAGTTCTTGTATTGATGCTAGTGTAAAGACAAAATGTAACTTTGAGAGGTTTGGCTTTCTTTTTTAAATGAAAAAAAAAATATATTTTTGTTTGTTCAGTAAGATGCCAAAAAAGAAGATAACTCAGACATTGTGTCTGATCATGAGAAGTACAGAACAAAGATTTAAAACAATACTAACCTTATAATAATAACTTGCTTCCAGATGAGCGATACTGTGATTCTCAATATTTTGAATTTATCAACAATAGCTTCCCACAAGTTCCCACTTCTTTCTGTTCTGAAATATATTTTATTTCTAAATTTAACAACCAGCAGCCATTTAGGTGAGCTAATGATCTGCATGTTAACTGATGATGCCAGTTGTCTCGAGTTCCCTGATAGGTTGGCTGCATCAGAGATTAGACGCTGTAATCTGATGTATAAATACCCTGTAGCTTGGATGTGCACTGTGTGTGTGTGAAAGAGAGAGACAAGGACAGAGTTACAAAAGAAGGAAAATGCATGTCTAAAACATAACTATAGCACATTTGAGGTACCTGTGTGTAGGTATGTGTGTGTGTGTGTGTGTGTGTGTATCTATGTGTGTTAGAAGTTACCGATGCTGGCACTGCAAAAGCTGCATGAAAAGACTCTATCTACTCCAGTGACTCCTGATCCTTACCATGCAATCAGCTCGCTGGATAACTTTAATCAGATTTGTTAGCCTGGCACGGATGTCTCTGCCAACCAGAAAAAGTGAATGTGTGTGTGTGTGTGTGTGTGTGTGTGCTGTGAGCAGCGATATGTGAATTCTCACAGCTTATTCACATCGGGTTATGAAACTGCAGCGTTATCAGAGCGTTGTATGTAAATAAATCCTGGTGCTTTTCCTCCAGTGGATGTAGTACGGAGCAGGAAATCCTGAAAAGACCGAGCGCTTGTGTGTGTGTGTGTGTGTGTGAGTGTGAGTGTGAGTGAGTGAGTGTGTGAGTGTATGTTCATTGTTAATTAAATACAGCACTGCTGATGCTTTTTTCAACTGCCAAATGTGTAGTAAATGTCTTCCTCCTATCTCCCTGCTATCAACTTCCTGCTAATCCTTATTAGGTGTTGTTCGTATGTGGGTCGTCGCGGCAACGGGCCCCAGGCCATCTCCATAGGAAAGAACTGTGACAAGTTTGGCATTGTGGTGCACGAACTGGGCCATGTCATTGGCTTCTGGCATGAGCACACGCGGCCTGACCGTGACGATCACGTGACCATCATCCGGGATAACATCCAACCAGGTGAGACTCATTACCCACGAGGCATCTGGGTCTCTTAGATTCATTCAGGCTGTTTCTAGCCGGAGACAACGTTCATAGACGGTGTGTGTACCGTTTTCAAAATTCACACTCATCGCTGGCTCTGGGGAAGTGTGAATGAGCCTTTTAATAACTGTGAAGTCACCTGGACCACCGTCACTGCCGTCTGTCACTTCTCCTCAAACACACTTCTCTGCACCACAATGCAGTCTGACAGGTGTTAAATCAAATTACATAGCAGTGCATCAGACCTGACCCATGGTTTTATTTAGAAGCACATCAGAGCTTTCAACAACGCTGCTCTATTGGACTTCAAGTATTTTAATAAGGCTCTTTAAAAGGCTGTTCTCTTCAGACTCAATTATTTAAAAGACGCTTGCACACATTGCATTTGTAAACAATATGCAGTATTTGTATATGCACTTCTGAGAGCCCACTAAATGGTTACGCTCTGATTGTGAATGTGTAATACAACTAAACCCTCTAATGCTGCTGTATCTGCATGTCTGCAAATATTTGTGTGTCTGTGTTTGTGCGTGTGTGGTTCCCAGGCCAGGAGTATAACTTCCTCAAGATGGAGCCAGGGGAGGTGAACTCTCTTGGGGAGCCATATGATTTTGATAGCATCATGCACTACGCCAGGAACACCTTCTCACGGTAACCGGTGGCGACATCTCGTCTGTTGACATGTTTTGAATTTACAGGGTCACGATCTGCCAAGACATTTTTTTTTTTTCTCACTGTTACAGTCTGGTCTATAATTTTGTGAAACAGTGACCCTGATGGTTTTTTAAGTGTTTCTCTGTGTTTCTGGGTGGTTTTTTGGTTTACTGTTTTTGGGTGGAACTGATGTTTCGGGCCAACCGTGACCGACTGTCATTACTCATCTCGTCGCCAAAGTAACGGCTCAGTGCAACGTGTTAAAAAGGAATATGCAAAAGAGGGTCATTCTTGCTTTTGTGTTTATTTTGAACATAGTTTGTGTTCTTCTTGTGAATTGTCATTGTTGGGCTGTGATCAAATAACCCTCGACTACACTTTTACAAAATAACAGAGCAAGCAATACTATAAAGCAGAGCAGGCGCTATTGTGAAGGGAGAGTTGGTTTTTGGGGTCTCCTTCCCACAAGAGACTTCATGGCTTGACAAATTGTATAATTGCAATTCGGAGATATACAAACAACACACAAAAACACACTTATTGGTATTTATTACTGTAACATGGTGGACAGGACAAATATGCTGATCTAATGCCTCACTAAGGCCGGTGTTACACGTTCTGCATTTGCGAGTACGCGAGGGTCAAGGCAACATAAATTTTGTGCGTCCGCGTGTGGGTCAAAACTTGTGTCCGTGAGGCGATGTTACACGGAAAGTAGTGTGCATGCTTGGCAGTAGTGTGCATGTGCAAAATGCGTAGATGCCGATCTGCTGCACATGTAAAAAAAAACCAGACCTCTAAGCGAGGCGCAAGCAGACTAAAAAAAAAAATATGATGTGTAATAACTACAACTGCACATTCATGGTGTCCGCAGCTGTCTGTGTGTGCATCAATACGGGAATACAATCAATTCTTAAGGCGACTGGTTATTGCCTTGTAGGACTGCGACCCCCCTAAAACAAATTATAATGACCCCATATTACTGCTTAAATATGTTTTATCTTCCATTTGTGATCAATACTTCTGTATGTCTTTATAATAATAAAACAGCAAGACTATGTTTTTTTTTTTCCCTGATTCATCATTTTAATCATTTTAAGACCAACCAAATTTATCTTTCTGACTTGTGCTTATGTCAGCTTCTCCAGCTCTTCCAGCCCATTTGGCTTTGGCAGAAATTGGAAGCCATTACATGATACAGTAAAACTGATCTCCACCACTTAAAATCAGCCAGTTTGCATTTGGCAGCGAGAGCAGTCATGGCTTCATTTTACATGCTTTCCGTGTGATGATGCTTTTTAATCTGTGCCATACCTACAATTATAAGCCCTCCCGTTCCCCAGTCGGCTCCAACACACATGCAAAAAAAAAAAAAAAAACTCATGGGGTGATCAGTATTTGCACAGAAGTCAGTGCTTCCTAAAATTAGAGATTTCTCTTCAAACATAGCACATAGTAATGCACTCTGTTGCTGATTCATTTCTATGTTGTAATGCCACATTTAACACCTGCTCTTCCTCCTCTGTGAAGCGGGATGTTCCTCGACACCATCCTTCCATCCAGAGATGAAAACGGGGTCCGGCCTGCTATCGGTCAGCGGACCAGGCTCAGTAAAGGAGACATTGCACAGGCAAGGAAGCTGTATAGATGTCCAGGTACTGATATATTTTCTATGAGACTGCAGTATGTTGTGTGTGTGTGTGTCAGTGTCGGTGTATGTGTGTGCTGTCGTCAGAACTAGGAAACAAAAGATGACCTCTGTTTATCTGCTTGTATCTTTGGCTTGAAATTTGCACACTCCTCCACTCTCCGAGGCACAGAGGTGAAGTTGAGTAATTTGTTTTTCCATGTGATGCTTCCCTCTTTGTTTTCGGGCCTCTCACACGTTACACACACACACACACACTCATCCAATCAGTTCTTGCGCACACCCGTTTTGTTCTAGCGTTCCTCCGGTCCCTGGCGAGCCGCTCTGACGTGATCTGGGTCTGCTCACGCGGAGCTGTGCCGCAATGTCGCAAAGGTTTATGAACGCAAGCGCTGCCATCGCTTTTTGGCAAATAGTTAAATTCCCGAGACGAATTCACACTCTAGGTCATAGCAGTCACATGATGTTCTGAATGTGAGACAAACAGATTAAATAACGTGTGGATATTGTGGTCTCTTGAAAATTCACCAAAGTCACAGTTAGACATTGCTTTCATGTGTGTATTTTTTCTGTTTGTCCAATTTCGTCTCCTAAAATAGTAGAAACCAATTGTATTTGTTCACATTCATATATGGTTGGATATATAGATAAATATATATGCACACGCAAGTATATCACAATATATGTAATAGTTATTCTGCTAAATCTGTGTGATACTGGAGAGAGGGCAAGACTGTGTTAGTGTGTCCCAGCTGGAAATAGATACAACTTCAACCTTATAAGGTCATATTTGAGTGATACCATATTCACTGACAGATGAACAGAGCCCCAGGGCATTGTGGGGGAAAACAGCATGCATGATGGGATAGGAGGGGCACATTTGGCTAACCTCCTTTTGAGAGGGAGCCACGGCGTTAAACCCAGAATGAAGGGTAAAGAGAGCAATGTTGTGTGATATTTCTCCAAGAATGCTCATTCAGCTGCAGCTTTAATGCCTTCGCAGGGATGAATTAAAAGTCAGCCGCTTTAATTCTCTTACAGTAAATGAGTACTACTGGGGGATTTTTAAAATTCTGCTAAATGGTGACGGAGCTTTGTGACTGTGGTCGGACCTCACATGCATAGCGATACACACAGGAACACAAATGCACAACCCACCTACATGCAAAACCGAAAGAAGCCAAAAGCAACATGAGACATGAGTTTGTTTGGGAGGGTAATTTTAATTCCTTTACTAGTTTCTGAATTAGAACTACGCGTCTTAACAGTTTCCATATGGACAGTTCAGATATTATAGACATAAACTTTGGCACGAAAGCAGCACATGCACGAGCCGGTTGTTTTGACAGCGTAGCCTGTAATATATTTATTTTGGTAAATTGGCAGTTTAGAAATGAATTTCGTGCAGATTGAGAACAATAATAGATATGAGAGCCATGTGTTCTTTAGCAATGTACCGATCAAGTCATCAGTACACAGCTGAAAGGATTATACACAACAGCAGGACTTTCCACAAAAATGTAATTCCATCTGTGTGTGCGTGTGTGCGTGTGTTTATGCTTGTGTGTGTGTGTGTGTGTGTGTGTGTTGCAGCATGCGGAGAAACACTCCAAGAGTCAACAGGCAACTTCTCATCTCCTGGTTACCCCAACGGATACCCTTCATACACACACTGTGTCTGGAGAATATCTGTTACACCTGGAGAAAAGGTACGCACACACACGCACACACACACCAAGTAGCACCCTACAGTGCAGTGAATGTGCAAGCACAGCCAATAAAAACAAGAGAGCGCTGACAGCTCGACTGTAGATTGATTAAGTCTTAACAGATACCACCCTCTTCCTCTGCTCTGCCTCCTCTTATCCTGTCTCTGAAGTGAAGTGCAACGATCTGCATTAAACACATTAAATATGTTTTCTTTTTCTTTTTTTCTTTTTTTTTTACTTCTTTTGCACCACCAGATCGTTCTTAATTTCACCACCATGGATCTGTACAAAAGCAGCCTGTGCTGGTACGACTACATTGAGGTTCGGGATGGATACTGGAGGAAAGCTCCGCTGCTTGGTAAGATCAAGGAGCAGCTGGAGTGAGCTGATGGAGGCAGATTGGAAACCTTCAAATCAACACACTGACCATTTTCACTGCTCACCTACTTCTTCTTACTGTATTATTCCGTCACTGCATTAAAGATTCATCCCTTCCTTTAACAAAAACAGTCCCGTTTTTAGCTTTGTGACGCCACACTTTTTTAAAAATAAGTTTAAGATGGAGAAGTAGGAAAATTCTCCCAATCCATCAGAGACATTTCTTCTTTTAGCAAATTTGGACATACAAGCTTTTAGGGCTGTAGAAATCATACATTCTCTTCAACCAATCAAATGTACTTATTTCTAAATTAACTAAATTGAAAAGTGCTGAACACACTCTACCTGCTAGTCTTATTAGACTAAAACAAATTATAAATACACATAAAAAGCTTGTATTTGTGGCATATTAAATCATTTAACCTGAGTATTTTATACTGAAATAACAAAAACAGACCTGCGTGCACCTGCCCATAAACAAATCATTTCTGAAACTAGAACTGTATCAACTGATGATCCTAACGCAACAACTATTGAGGTCATAATGCAGACGAGTCACCTTAACAGTTTTAGATGATCTGCCACGTTGGTTGTGATTTCCAAACTGCTGGTTGCAAAGTTAACGCTCAAATTTTGGCCGTCCGTTTGAACAAAGTGCAGCCACACCGACGACTTCTTTGACAAGGTGTCATTTAGTTTGGAGCTGACTCTGAGTAAACATTCAGTTAAAGTAGTCGAAACGTTAATTAAGCTAAACCGCGTAGTCACCAATGGGTCGGGTAAGTTCACAGTTGTGAAAACATGGGGGTGTTCACATGTGATCCGTTCCTCCAGCGGCCAAAAATAATGAATTCATCCTGCAAGGCTGTTGATGCAGCGCTTTTCTCCTCACGATAAAAATACCAGCGATTGTCCAACAAATAAGAATTTGGTCTCCTGAGAGCACATCAACCAATCGTCCTGAACACCACAACCCTGCAAAGTTATTTTTTGAAAGTAATAATAGTTTGTAATTGAAATTATTCTGGAAAGATTTAAGTTTCCTCAAATGACTGGACTGCAGCAACACAGTATGTACACTGTAGTACACTGTATGTATAGAAAAAACACTGACACAAATGCTGATGCTAGAAATATCAGAAGATGAACTCCAAGCCAGGAAATACAGGAGAAGGCTGATGAGACGCCAAGATGCTACACAGCTGTTTGTGCTCCTTTGAGGCAGGATTTTACAACTCTTGAAAGCTATTTCAACACCAATATAATTTACTATGTAAGCAGTAGCATTATAACACATGCTATAAGGTATTCTATATATACACTGTGTGCTTTGGGGTTTTCAGTGTTGCCAGATGACTTTGCTTTACATTGCAACAGAACATAAACCAGGATCAAGCTTTTTCCAGCTGCACTGATCGTATTGAAATGAATTTTTAACTCATGGATATTGTTGGCCGAAACGCGGACTTTCAATAAGTTTACAATTTCATGTTGTCATCAGCTATTTTATAAACTGTAGTTTCCCAGCAGTCATTGGACATTTACATGTTGTGTTTTTGTGTATTTTACAGGTAGGTTTTGTGGAGATAAAGTCCCTGAAGTCTTGATTTCGAGCGACAGCAGAATGTGGATTGAATTCCGCAGCAGCAGCAACTGGGTGGGGAAAGGCTTTGCTGCCATTTATGAAGGTATCATCTTCAGTCCAGCTATCAATCAAACTAATGAACGAAAGTAATGAAAGTAAAAGCATCTATACATACAAATGAAGAGTTTGTCAACGTACCCAAGAGGTTTTCTCGGGGCTTTCGTTGCTGATAGCAGAATGTGTTTCAGGTGTCTTTCATCAGTGCTGCTAATGCATCATGTTTCTCACTCCCTCTCATGTTGTTCTCTTGTGCAGCCATCTGTGGAGGGGAAATCACCAAGGACTCCGGCCAGATTCAGTCTCCCAACTATCCCGACGACTACAGACCCTCCAAAGAGTGTGTGTGGAGGATCACTGTGTCCGAGGGATACAACGTCGGGCTCAGCTTCCAGGCCTTTGAGGTGACTCATTCCTTCTGTGTCTATGTCTCTCTCGCCACCCTCCCTCTTTGTGCGTATGCTTAGGAATGTCTGGGTCAAATTTCACGCTCGTATAGCTGCTAGGAAGTTAATAAAGGTGGCGGTGTGTGTGTGTGTGTTTGTGTGGTTTTTGTGTGTATAATCGCACAGAGACACACAGCGGGCAGTCGGGGATTAGTTTTGTAGTTTTAACGCTGTAAAAATGTCAGTTTGCTAAACGACTCAATCTGATTCTGCACATGAAAAGTCAAAGGTCAGCTTTCCAACGGAGATTCTATTCTATTCTATTCTATTCTATTCTATTCTATTCTATATATTCTTCTACTCTGCTCTGTTCTGTGATGGTGTTTGTATGATCAGTGTTCTACACCTCCCCTCAAAAAGCCAACTATCGGCTTTATAACACCTGAAATAAATGGGAAACATCATATTATTGCACCGACACAAAAGTCATGAAACACATATGTAGTCACCGTATCACCTCCGGTAACCATTGAAATCGCAGTTATAACTCTCTCTCTATTCATTTAGATAGGGGTTTGGCCTTGTTGGCTCAAAGTAAATGCTCTGGGACATTACCAATATGGCTGCCGAGTGGCAAGACCTTTTCAGGAACAGCATGATGTGCAACAATGCATGCATTTTCTTGGGGATACTCTGCAAAGTGCAATGCAACATTCTGACAGAACTGTAGCTGTTCAGTGTTGGTGTTTGCAGCTGCAAGTCTGCAGGCTGATGAAGGACAGGGGAGTCTTATTCCCTTGTTATTAATGTTGTTGTTTTGGCATTCTTTTTGTGACCATGAAATTCTCCTCATCATTTTATTGCTGAAATGTGGGAGCCTGGTAACGCTGGTGAAATGGAATCCAGCAGCCAAAGTAATGAGCGGTTAATCTGTCAGACACCAAAGTCACAGTTTTAGGAAACTAGATGTGAGTCAAGTGATCTCCTTACTGGCCCAATCTAAATGATTTTTAGAGGTTGTGGAATGACTTATTACCTGTAACAACTACGACCTTATGTGCTAGCCATAGCACATTGTTTTTCTTTACATAGTATAATAATGAGATTAACTCATTATTATTAAATGAGGAGATGAATACATTTGTGACCTTATGCAGTGGAGCAAAACTGTTCCATCACTCTGTTCATATTTTCTGCTTTCTTTTCTAACAACATCATCACTGCATCCTTAAATTCAGCAATGTGAATAAAACGTTACGACAACCCATGAAATTACTGATAAAATGACACAAATAGGAAATCATTTTAAAGTACATGAAAAATATATATTTGAATAAATAAAATTAAAAATCATGTAGCTCTGAATGATCTTTTTTTTTTTTTTTTTAAACAAAGTGACAATTTATGACATAAAAGGACTTTTTATTTCATACACGACACTGTAAAAATCAAGTTTTCTTCCTGTAAATAGAATTCTAGATGCAATTCATGATAATGACCAGAAAAAAAACATTGATTCTCTAATCTCACATGGATTTTTTATTTTTTTAAATGAGCGATATCTTGTACAGAAGGTATCACAACAAAAATGTTAAATTAATGTGCTTTCTGATTATATATATTATTGTTATTTTATATTGATGATCTCATGTAAAAATTAGGCTAGAAAATGTGTCTTATGGAAAATCACTGTACTTTCATGAGATGGCTACTTTTCATTATTTGAAGAATAGTTTTGGTATCCCAGCTGCCAAAATATACAATTTTTTTGTTGTGTAGAGCAGAGAGAGAAAAGAGTTGCAGTTTATAAGTGTACAGATACAGACACTAAAGGTTTTACTGTATTGACACATTTGATGCTGTCACTGACGTTAACATTCCCAGCAGTTTTGTGTGTCTGACTGTGTATTTGTGTACGCCTACATGAATGTTGGTGCAGATTGAGAGGCATGACAGCTGTGCCTACGACTACCTGGAGGTTCGGGATGGCCCGCTCGAAACAAGCCCTTTGATTGGTCGGTTCTGTGGCTACGATAAGCCCGAGGATGTGCGCTCCACCTCCCACACGCTGTGGATGAAGTTTGTCTCAGACGGGACAGTGAACAAGGCCGGCTTTGCTGCTAACTTTTTCAAAGGTGTGTGAGTGTGATAGAGAGAGGCTCTTTGTGTGTGTGTGTGTGTGTCTCAGTTGATTGTGTTTTGTCACATAGCTTTTTCACTTAAGCATTTGTTATGTGTGTTTTTCAGAGGAAGATGAGTGTGCCAAGCCAGACAATGGTGGATGTGAACAGAGGTGTGTAAACACTCTCGGCAGCTTCAAGTGTGCCTGTGACCCCGGTTATGAACTGGCCCCTGACAAGAAGAGCTGTGAAGGTAACAGCGACTGTATGTGTTCTTGTGTTTGTGTGTGTCTGGTATGCGTAAATCCTGTGTACGCTGCTTTGTGTTTCCATAGGATATGAGTCTAACTCTTAAAAAAAAAGAAAGAAAAAAAGCAAAGAAAATATCTGAGCAGCCCCCATCAACAGGAAAAAACATCTTTCTGACACAAAGCCGCATGCCTCCTTGTTCAAATGCCACACATGCCGTGAAGGTTCTTTAATCCCACGAAATAGATTAACTCCCCATTATGACCCACATACTGAAACAAATGAACAAACCACTTCTGACGCAGAAAGAGAGAATTAACTACGCTGGTGCAGAATTTCTTCAGAAGAGCAGTAGTTACTGTGTACTGAAATCCCCAGTGATTTAATGTGCTGGGAAATTAAGTGGATTTTGCCGAAAAAAATATCCACACATGCAATTGCTCCTCGAAAAGGAGGCATCGCATGAGGATGAGGGGCTGCACAGCGTCAAGTACAGTAATAAATACAGATCTCAATACCACAGTTATGAGTTTGACAACATGTTTTCACGCACTCGTGTTGGATAACTGTCTGACGATGAGCCCTGTGATCATAAGAGGGACATAAAAGGACAGGTATTCTGTGAGTTATGTGCATTATGTAACGTTGTCCACTTGCCCTCGAAGTTATTAATCATTTGTAGCTCTAGCTTTCCACACACACATTTTCTTTTTGTCGAATTTAGTGGCCCTTGGAAGAATGTTCCTGCTGGGATCGAAGCTTTCCACATTCCACGCTTAGCTTTCTCACATCAGAAAAATCTCCTTGTCAATCATGAGCCATATACATACGCCTCCTTTTCACAGTTATCATTCCTGTTAAATTCGGTAGGAAATTTGATGAGGTGTAGCCCAGCAGCAGCCTTAAAGAGTCATTCCATATAACCTCGGTGCCTCCAGCTTGTTTCAACGGTCAGAAAGCAGCAGAAAAGAAAAAAAAAAAGAGCATGTATTTGCATCTGTGTCTGAATTATTTGCATTTTCTGTGGCTGCAGCGGCGTGTGGCGGTCTCCTGTCCAAGTTAAACGGGACCATCAGCACTCCTGGCTGGCCCAAAGAATACCCACCCAACAAGAACTGCGTGTGGCAGGTGGTCGCTCCCACTCAGTACCGCATCTCCATGCAGTTCGAGGCCTTCGAGCTGGAGGGTAACGAGGTGAGTGCGCATCCCTGCATTTCTATCCTAACGTGGTAGTTACGTGGAAGCCACCTCGTGAATGTGTAAGAGCCTTATTTGCGCGTTTAGGTGTGCAAATACGACTACGTGGAGGTGAGGAGTGGCCTCTCATCCGACTCTAAGCTGCACGGTAAATACTGCGGCACCGAAGTCCCCGAGGTCATCACCTCGCAATACAACAACATGAGGATTGAGTTCAAGTCGGACAACACCGTCTCTAAAAAAGGCTTCAAGGCTCACTTCTTCTCAGGTAGGACACATGTGAACCTGTGGGTGTGTGTGTGTGTTTTTCTCAGATGTGGGCAGAGTGGTGTAGTTCACTTTAATTTAACCAAAATGTGAGTGTTTGGAACATCCACAGATGGACTGGGGGAGAAGTGGATTATGGTGCAGGAGTGGTTTGTGGTTTTTGTTGCTCGTTACCACTGGAATCCACTGAAACTGCCAGAAAGTCAAGCTGAACACAGCTCCTGCCCTCCTGTGAACTTTTAAACTTTTGAAGCTGACAGGGCTTATGAATCGATTCATATTGAGAGTATCACTGTTCGTTTGAAATGCATAATCAGGATATTATGCTTTATGTATAGTTTTATTAGGGGATCGGCCAAAATAATCGGTGCCAAAGTTTTTAAGTTGCACACTTATCTGAAACATTTTGACTTCCCACTTTTTTTAGTTCAGAGTAAAAGATCAGGAAAAAAAATGTTGTTAAATTTCTAAAAAGTCATTCAGAGTCATTACACTTCCATTGACCTCAACACCTTTGCTTTCCCCAGTGCGACATCACATTACTTTCTGCCTTGGAACAGGACATAAATCATTGACTGCAGCAAGAGACAGTGCTGAATATTTTACTCTGCACTGCGAGAGTTTTCTTTGTAATAGCTGCAACAATGCAGGTGTGCAAAAACAGAAAAGTGCCTGCAGGATGCATTTCCCCTCTTACAAAGCTGTCTGAACATATAGATGTCTCATTTAATGTCCCCCTGCCCTCCTCTACTGCGAGATCGTGTTGTGGTATTTGCGGAACTCTCCGTATTTGTGTCCGTGTGTCTCTCTGTCATGCTGTGTCTCCTGAGCCTCCACCGCCGCCGCCGAGGCCTCCTGCACCCACCCTCCGCTCTGCCCTCTCTCCCTCGCAGACAGACTGGCACTGTGTCAAGAGCGTATGTTTGTGTTTGAGTCATGCCAGGACATAAAGCGCGGCCGTTCTCCGCCTCGTGGCCGCATCAACAGCAAGCCGGCGTCCTCATCAGAGGTCAGAGGTAACATGACCTCACAATCGGGAGCTCTGATTGGCTCTGGTCGATCGTGTGATGTGAGGGAATGGATGGATCCGGTTTTAATGGCGTGGATCATTGTCTAATCCATTGTCCTCCTGAGGGAAATGTGCTGTGACCCAGTTTCTTACTAAATATTACTCAGTATTAATTTCTGTTGGCCACATGAGTCATTCCATGCAAGCTGTAATTGAAAACCTCCAAAAACTAGTGTGGAAGTTTTCGTTGTACACATCTTTGTTTCATCCAGGGCAGAATATTTAATATGTACCTTTGTGCACATTTTTCATATTGTGATATATTTTTGTGTTTAAAAATATTCTTTAG